TCTGTGGACTTGTGTGATTCTTCCTGTTCTGGAATGCCAATAATTCTTAAGTTATTCCTCTTCATGTTGTCCAACATGACCTTCTTCAGATTTTTTTTTATCCTTATTTCTGCTTGCTCTTCCATCTTAGTTGTATTGAGAGATTTGTCTTCCAGCTCACTAGTTCTGGGTTCCATCTCTTCATTACTACTCCTTTGCCCTTTCAGTGTATTGTCCATTTCTGATAACCTATTTTTAATTGTCTGGACCTCTTTTTGTAGGTTTTGAATTGTTTCCAATGCTGTATCTATCTTATTTGATCATTCCTGTAGCACTTTCCTGACTTCTTCCTTATTCTTCTCAACTCCATTGCATAGTGTTTTGATACATTTTATAATCATTTTTCTGAATTCCTTCTCAAGCATTTCCAAAGCCTGCCCTCCTTCCTGTATAGAGTGTAGGTCTACCTCCAGATCATTTGTCTCAGTCACTTTATCTTGTTTCTGGACATGTGCTGATATGGTTATCTGTTTCTGTTTCTTGGGCATATTCAGTAGTTAGCTGTGGCCTGAATATTTAAATGAGTGTGTGTTTTGGTATTTTTTATGCTTTATGATTGCCTCCCGGTAGATGTGATTAGGAGATGGGGTTCTCTTTTCACTCTTATTACTCGACTCAGAGTAACTGTTGCAGGTGTTGGCTGCCTACCTGGTGTGTGGCAGCTGGTATCGGTTCTTGCCTGGGTTTTGGAGTTTTATAGGGTATGATTGTAGCTTGACTAATGACAGAAATCACTTCCTAAATAATGTAGGGAGAGAAAGAGCCCCCTAAAGGTAAAGAGGAGTCCTGGTGTGGCACTGTGGGTTAATGTGCCAAACTGCAAAGCCATTTGAACTGCAAGGTTGGTGATTCAAGCTCACCAACTGCTCCTTGGTCGGAACTGACTCGGTGGCACTTCACAACAACAACAACAAAGGTAAAGAGGGGACCAAAAACCAAAACAGCAACAGCAAAAAAAGACAAATTGGATACTGTAGTCTATAATAGCAGAAAAGAAATTTGGGGGGGGGGGGGAATCTATAGCCTAATATGAATATGACTTTAATATCCTCTTTCAGCTTCTTGCATCCAAGGCTACCTAAGAAATTTCAAGATGCCACTGTTGGTTGTTATGACATAACTCAGGATTTAATTTTTGGCCTGTTTTGTTTTTAGTATGTGTCTCTCCTATTCCACAACCCCTGTTCTGCCCTTTTTCCTAGTGATAAACAATTCATGACCTGCTATGGCCATTTTGCACTGCTGTTTGGTTTTAAGTGGAAACTGTTCCTTTAAATTTTCAGATCTGTGCTCATGCATAGTAGAACCCTCTGGGGGTGGGGGTTGTCCACTCATTTAAGCACTCCATTTAGTAACCAGAATGGAGGTACACAGACTGCAAGAGACCAATGAAAAGATACAAAAAAAAAAAAAAAAAAAAAAAAAAGGATGTCCATTCCTTTATCTCTGAGGTTCTGTCAGATGCCAGTCTGTGGTGGCTCTGATACTTTTCCCGCTCAGTGTCGCCTAAGATGGCGGCTCTGGGAACCTCTGTGCCTAGCAGTTTCAAAAGCACGAGATTTCTTGCTTCCTCTACAAATTCCACTGGCTAAAAGCCTTCAAGCTTTAAAAATATTCCTATGTATGTGGTTCATAGTTTTGGAACAATCTCTTGAACCTGTTTCACCTAGTATTCTGTGTTATTGCTGATGGAGATCCTTAGTGCACTTCTACCCTATCTGCCATCAAGCCCTGCCCAGAGCTTAGTTATTGATTCCCTTTTTTAAGTAATATTTTGTGTTTCTTGAGCTGGTCTCATGATTCTTTTCTTATCTTCTTATCTTCCATATTAGGGAAGTTTTCTTCCAACAACTCTTTGACAGTTTGCTTTGTGTCTTTCTTTGGGGAAGCGGTATCTTCCTGTTTTGTAATTCTGATCACAGATAAGTTATTCCTGTTGAGTAGTGTTCCACATAATTCTTAGACTTTTTTTTTTCTTCATTACTTTTTATGATTGTTCCTCTAGCGGATTAGAATTGAGAGATTTGTCTTCTAAATGACTAATTCAGCCTTCCATTGACTCAATTATACTCCTTTGCCTTTTCAGTGTATTATCTATTTTTGAAATCTTAGTACTACTCTACTGGATTTCTATTTGCTATTTTTGCATGGTTTCTATTCTTTTCATTTATTTTGTTAGTTTGTTCTTGTAATGTTTTCTTGAATTCTTCCAAAGTGTTTTCCTTGATTTCATCTGCATCTTTCTATTTTTCTCTTAATCTATTGAAAGTAGCTATATATCATTCTTTTTAGTTCCTTACCAGGCAGTTATCATGCCATTCACGCCCCCAGAAAATTTTTCTGGCTCTGTATTTTGTTTTGAGTTACTCTGACTTGTTTCTTCTTGTGAACTTAGCTGATCTGTCTTCTCTGAGACACTGTAATGGTGTTGTGTTTGAACTTAATTGAAATAGTATGTTGGTGTGATCTTAAGCACTCACCATCTGTCTCCTGGTGAGTGTGACAGGAAATGTGAGTATGTGTACAGTTCTATGTTCATGTATCATAGTTGGGGGGGCAGGGTTTGGCTAGTGTTGTCTACATCTGTTGATGATCAGGTGGTACAAAAGTAGGTATCGGCCTTTGCCCAGTAGGTGGGATTACAGGAGGTACAGGTGTGGCTGGACCATTTGGACATGATTGTTGCCTCCCATTGAGTTTTACAAGGAAAAAAATAGTAGGAAAGAAAGGAGAAAATAACAAAGAAAAATAGCAAACAGGTGAAAATAGGCTAACAACAGCAAGATAAACATTTAATAATAAAAAATAAAATATGTGGTGGTGGTATGCTGTGGAGTCGCGTTCCAACTCATAGTGACCCTGCATAGGGTTTCCAAGGCTGCAAATCTTTATGGGAGCAACAAGTCAAAATTAGGGAAGATAGAAAAGAAAGAAAAAATAAAATAAGCAAAACTAAGGGTCTTATTCTGCTACTTGAATGCTTAATTCTCAGGTTTCACATTAGGGAGAAAGAGAAAAGTAGGATAAAAAAGAAAATAAGGGGGAAGAGAAAATAGATGAGAAGCAGAAGAAAAGGAAGGGAAAAAGCAGAGAAAGAAAGAATAAAAACAAGAGAAAGGGGAAAGAACACTAAAAATAGAAAAAGAAAGAAAGAAGAAAACTGGGACTAATGGCAGAACCCAGATAGGAGAGAACTGTGTGTGTGTGTGTGGGGGGGGGGGGTAAAATGCCCAGTTCTAGATGGAATTCCTGCAGGCTTAAATGTTGTCTGGGGTCAGGGCACCTGATCTGGAAGTAGTTTGTGTCAGCTCAGAAAGTGGCTGAGGCCAGAGGTTTGTTCCCAGAAGCCATTCTTTTTTAGCCCATATGGTAGCTGGAGGCAGGCGGCTGGATATGGAAGAAGTTCTTGGCTTCTCAGGAGCAGTCAGGAGTCAGCACTGTTTATTCTCTTGATCTGAGGAGACAGAGTTTACATGCCTCCAGATTCAGGGGTGGTGTACCCAACACCTGGTCCACTGGGCTCAGACAGAGCCGAGGCTGTGCAGGGTGGGGGATGTCACTGACTGGTCACAGCATGGGTGACAATGGAGATAGCCACACTTCTGGTCATCAGGAGGGTGTGGGGAACAAGGGAGGATCCTACCTTCCTTTTCACCAACACCAGTGTGCATCTGTGTTGTCAGAATGCTGTCTTGATCTAAGTATGCTTGCAAAAGTTAAAGATGGCTGTGTTGCATCAGATCAGATGACAGTTCACCAATCCATGTCCTCTCTTGCTACTTTTGTTCAGCTTCTTCTCCTATTCAGTATTCAATTCATTTCCCATGCTTTCCTCCGAAGCTTAGGGTTCCAGTGTTATCATTCATATCTGTTTTATTTGATCTCTCCTGTATTGGCTGCAGAAGCTCTGGTAGCATGTCTGCCTAGTCCTCCTTCTTGCCAGAAGTCAGCCTGAAAGATTTTCAACTACAAAAAATACCAGTATAAAAAGATTTGAAATTTGTCCCAGATATCTTATTTTGCAAAGAGCTTTGGTAACATAGTGGTTATGAGTGAGACTGATAACTTCAAGGCCAACAGTTTGAAACTACCAGCTATTCTGTGGGAGAAATATGAGGCATTTTGCTCCTGTAAAAAATTATATCCTTAGAAACCCTATGCAGGATCGCTATGAGTTGGAACTGACTCCATGGCATACCATCACCATCTTCTTATTTTGCAATTCCTCCAAAATTAATTGGGTTTTTGAATACCCAGGGTCAACTCAAGATCCTGTGGTTAGTCACCTAAACCTCAGTTCGAAGAGTGATTGTTATTAACTGTTTATAAACCAACTAGTTGCCATCTAGCTGACTCTAACTCATGGTGACCCCATGTGTCAGGGTAAACTCCATTGAATTTTTAGTGATTCATTTTTTCAGGAATAAATCACAAGATCTTTCTTCTGAGGTGCCCCTAGGTGGACTCAGACCTCCAACTTTTTAGTTAGTAGCCGAGAATGTGAACTGTTTTCAGCACTCAGTGATTCCATTATCTGTGTAGGGACCACGTAGATTAAGTGAGTAGCTCTCCGTGCCCACATAGCATACGCAAGTGTCCAGATAAGTTTGTGAACTCTGGAGTACAGGATGCTTGTATCTCAGAGCTAATCTTAGAGTCTGTTCACAGGCAGAGTCTTCAACCCAAAGAAAAGAAGCTGACATGTGTGATTACCCTGTGAGATATTATCTCAGACCCCTCTCTTGAGATTTTGTGTGACATGCTTGTAGCCTTTGATAGAAGACTAGCATGAGAATTAGTTAAATAAAATCTAAGGACTTATGAAGTCTTGTTAGAATTGAATTTACAAACCCTCATCCTGTTTCTCTGCCACAGGTTCAGAAATAGAGTGTTTCCAAACTTAATGTTGGGTCCAATACAGGAAACACAGTCACTTACACTCCACTCCTTTCCCTCTTCAGGCCCTTGAGGCAGCTTTTCTAAGAATGAAGGAGAAATATTTGAGCATCTCTCCTTGTCCTGTGAATAAATCCCGCTGGAATATTGTGCAAAGCATAGTCATGTTTGGAAAAGGTGAGTGCATTCTCACCCCACCCTCAGCTCTTAGAATGGTTGTTGGTGTTCCATTGGCCAAAGGAATAGTGTGTTCTTGAGGGTGGTAACAGTGCCCAGGCATTGGACAGAGTCCTCTAGGAGTGTGCTCTCACTGAGTTCTGTGGGGCTTGGACTAGGTGGGCATGGTTTCATCTTGAAAATGTTCAAACTAGTGGACTTGGTTTTTAAAACACTGTCTCTGTACCCAGTGTCAGCAAAACAGAGTGAGAGCTTTGCCCCTTGTATTTATGTGGGTGACCCAGACACATTGCCCCTTATAATCAGTGAGGGTGGGATCCGTCCCAGCTGATAATGCTGCTGAAGAGGAGACTGAATACTGAAGTATTCTCCAGAACAATGAATTTCCCATCGCCCCTTCAGGATTCAGGCCTTCTTGATTGGGAAGCATTTCTAGCTTAGAAGTCTGTGGACAGAAAGGCTTTGAACCAACTGGAGCTGGTTTAATCATGGCCAATGAAACGAAATGAGAACAGACCCAAATTTCTAAAATTTGGGTGAAGTAGAGTGACAGCCAGTGGGAAAAATTGTGGGCTGAAGTTGTGGAATGAGAGACTTAGAAAGGATGTAGTGAGTCCTTTCAGGGGCCTGATGTGGGAGATTGGATTATTCCCAGGACACACTTCCAGAGCAGCACAATCAGTAACCAGCTTTGAGTTGGGCACTGCTGCTTCCAACTCTGCCATTAAAGAGATTTGGTTGCTATGCAGTGCACATGCTACCCTTACTTTCTAAGAGGGAGATGAAGTTTCTAGCAGGGCATTGACTTGTAATTTTTCCCATTCTACTTATCATTCTGGTTTACCTACGTTTTACAGATCTGGGTCCATTCCAATTTCACTTCACTGACTATGATTGAACTGGGAGGAACTGGTTGGAAGCCCTGGTGGATAGTAACTATAGCTATCCAATATGCAAAGGGCACTGGCTTGAGAACCAGAGAAGCAGATTTCTAGCCTGCCCCCAAGTTGTGTGACTATGCAGAAGGCACTGGAGTCTCTGGCCCTCTGTCTTCCCATCTGCAAAAGGAAGACAGTACTCCCTTTATGGACCCTGGCAACACTGAACACTGTCTTACCATCAGTGCCAGATGCCTGAGTCAAATTAAGAACTCTGGTCCTCTGGGAGAGAGGGGAGCGGGGAGCTAGTTCCTCACTGTGCTCTCATGGCCATGATGACATGCATCTGGGAGAAGGTTTGCAGGGCTCTGAGGCTGCATTTTGAGTCTTCAAACCATGGCAAGCAAGTCAAACATGCAATTGACATCCTTTGTCCAGGAGATTTTCATATCAAAAAGGCTCCATTCAGAATCCCTTTACCCTGCCAAATAGGGTTGTTGGTTAAATTTTCATGTTCCACCCAAAACTGTCAGTCTCAAATGCTCCATGGCAAATGTCCCTGACGCCGAGGCCGGACGCGCACACTCCACTCTGCTTGCCCATTGTCTGGCTGTCACGGTTTCAATGCTGATTTTGTGTTCATGGAGAGACATACTCAATTGGGCCCGAAGCTCTTCAGCACTGGGCAGAAACTTGGCAGGGGGCAGGAGGGTTTCTCAACCTGGTAGCAAGTTTTCTGTTTGTTTTAATTTGGAAGGAGAATTGCCGTGGCCATCTGGAGACATGGCGGGAGCTGTGCTAAAGGGAGTGCATTGCACTTTGCCTGTGAAACACCAGATAATATCCCAAGCTTTGTTTTTTTGTTTGTGCAAGGGTGGGGGTGGAGTTGCTTCTCATCAGAATATTCTTTTGTTCTACCTCCAGGGCATTTCACCAATACCTTTGAGACAGTTTATCCGGAGAGACTCTGGATTGAAGTGAAAACCTTCTGCAATGCCTTTCCCTTCCACATTGTATTTGATGAATCGGTAAGTTTGGAGGTGAGGAAGCACTGGTGAAGCGAGTATGTCTTGTATTCTTTTGTGACTGGTAGAGACAGTCAAGCTTCTTAAAGTTCCCAGGGCTTTGGACATTAGACTTATCCTGGTAGGACTACCAACTTCCTTTGCATTGTAGCATTTTCCAGAAACCAGAATGCAGGCTCTTCTTGGTAAGTGGAGTCCCTGGGTGGTGCCAAGGATTTATGAACTGGGCTGCTAACTGAAAGATTGGTGGTTCAAGTCCACTTGAAGTTTCTTCAGAAGAAAGGTCTAGTGATCTACTTCTGAAAAAGCAGCCACTGAAAACCCTGTGGAGTATGGCTTGACAGGCATGGCTCCTCATGAATAGAAATGGACTAAATGACACCTGGTTTCTTCTCTATAAACATGTAAGGGATACCATTGTGCTGTTGTTGTTAAGTGCTGTTGAGTCCATTCCAACTCAGAGTGACCCTGTATAGGGTTTCTGAGGAATGACTGGTAGGATTGAACTGCCAGCCTTTGAGTTAGCAGTCCAGAGCTTATCCTACAGCATCACACCTGGCCTCCACTGAAATGCACTCCGTAAAGAGGCATCAGAACACAGTTAGTAGCAATAGCAAGAAAGGATTCTAAACCTGACCACTGCGCCTAGCTACAGTTCTATCCAGCTGTATGCCTACATGTTTAAGGGGCTGAGAGAGCTTGGCCTGCCTTATGCCACTATTCCTGAGGCTGTGAGGATGCCTGTTTACATTTGTCTTCATCAGTTTCCTTGGATGAAATATATGCCCACAGAGTTGATCTTTAGATCATTTGAGGTCAATGAGGCAAAATAAATGTGGTCAAAAATGTCCAATTTGTCCAAAACAGTCACTGTGATTTTCTTCACATTTATTTGAATCCATAGGCATAGTAAATCAGTACCTACCAGGTACTGCTTGGTACAAGTCTATGAAATTTCTCATCTGAGGGTAGCCTCTGCCCACTAAGAATTTGTGATTAAACTGAGGACAACAAATGTCCCCTACATGAGACAAGTAAGGAATTATAAAGCAATGCACCTTAACTTTCTCCCAATCCCACTGGCGATACTACAATTGTTGCCATTATTAGTTTTCATTCCAATCAACTTTAAAGAAATCCCTTTCTTTTAAAGTTGTAGGCATCAAATGGTAGAAAATCTAGTGTTACTTATTCCAAAAGGTTAGGCTGATTTCGAAAGCCTAGCAGGAGCCCCATGGGGAGTGAAGGTTCCTGGACAACCTGCAATGGCAACAGGAAGGAGTTTGATATTTCTTCCTTCTTTGTGGTTGCTAGAGCTATCAGTGAAAGGAGTCTGCCGACCTCCAAGACGGACTCCTTTACTCATGCCTGCGTACCACTGCCAATGCTCCAGAACATGCTAATCTTTCCTTTAGTGTAGTCTGCCTTGCAGTGCTGAAGGGAGAACTCACAGCCTAATTGAGAGTTTTTACTTTGTTTCTTATTCGTTCGAAATATGCTTCTGGGTTCTGTCTGTGCCCCTCAAGTGAGTAACAGATCATGTCCAGTATGCTGTTTCTAAGGGAACATTTATGGTGTGAGTTGCTTTCTAATCCCCAGTATTACATCTGTCCTCTGTGTATAGTTGAGGGTCAAGCAAGCTGGAGTGAATATTCAGAAGTTTGTTCCAGGACTCCAAACCCAGAAGATTCGATTAGATGAATATTTCTCCATTGTTCATCCCCAAGTGACCTTCAGCATTCTCAGCATCTGCAAATTTATCAACAGTCAATTTGTCCTGAAAACACGAAGAGAAATGATGCCTGAAGCATGGAAAATGAAACCCACGCTCAAACTCCGAGGTAGTAAATCACTCTGTTCATTGCTGGCTGCCTGTTTGGGATATTGGTCAGGAAGGGTAGCCACAGAGTTTTCCAATAGCCTCAAAAAAAAAAGTTGCACAAAATGCAGGGAAGGGACTACATTGAGAACAGTCACATTCTTTGCTTCCAGCATTTCCATTTGGCCTAATCTGCAAACAATATATGTTATTTATTCAACCGGTGCTGATTTATGTCGAAATGTGCTGGATTATATAATGCTGTTCTAGTTTTCAAAAATTTCCAGAGAGCATGTGTTACTCTTGGTATTAATTTAACTTTTATCCTTTACATAGTAACATATATGGCATATCTGATCTAGTGTGAGTAGGATACCCATTTTGAGCTATCTTTCCATTAGACTCATGGGTAGGTTTTCCAGGCAGCAGTGCAGCTGTGGCAGATACCTGCCAGGAAAAGGACATGTTCTGGGAGCCCTGAGTGCGTGGTAGACTGAGTGATGATGGAAGACCAAATGCAAGACAAGGCACTTGAACTCTTTAGTGCAGTTGGAGACACGTGTAAGTGTCCTCCATGATCAAATCTGAATGGTCACTCTGGAAGCATGTAGGAAGGCCCTGGTGGCACAAATGGTTAAGTGCTCAGCTACTCAACCAGTGGCCTGGAGCTAGGTCTGGAGCTCTACTTCCAAAAAGTCACAACCATTGAAAACCCTGTGGAGCGTAGTTCTACTTTGCCACAGCTGGGTTAGATGGGCTTGGTTTGGGGTTTAGCTTGTCCCTGGCACAATGCTGCCTCCTTAAGGAGACAAGAGTAGCCCACAGCTGTCAATAGAATGAGCACATTTATCTTCCTTGCTCCTCTTTGGTCACCTGTACTTCCGTACCTTTCTTAAAGATCAAAAGTACTTAATTTTATTATGCCTCATTTTTTACTTAATACTCAAGAATCATCTGTAAAGTGCAGTGCTGTGGGTTAACGCTCTGAACTATAAAGTTAGTTTGAACCGCAAGGTTGGTGCATCAAATTCACCAGCTGCTCCTTGGAAACCTATGCAGGGTTGCTGTGGGTCTGAACCGACTCAACAGCACTTAACAGCAATGGTAACTTTTCAGCTATCTACAGATTATTTTTCTCAGCTGATTTACAATTTAAAAACTCCTTGCTTGCTGAGTGGATTTTGATTCCTAGAGGTCCATGTATCACAGAGTAGAATGCCTCCGTAGGGTTTTCTTGATTGTAATCTTTTCAGAAGCCATTAGATAGAACGGAAACAACTTGAAAAATGGCTTCATAAAGAGACAACTGAACGGTTAGTAGTCTTTCTTCTGAGGAGTCACTACCCCCAAAATACCAAACCCACGGCCATCCTGTGAATTCTGAGTCATAGCCACTCTTATGTAGGACAGAGTAGGACTGCTCCTTAGGGATTCTGAGACATAAATCTGAGCAGCACACAGCTTCATCGTTCTCCCAAGGAGCAGCAGATGGGTTTGAACTGCTGACCTTGCTCTTAGCAGCCCAGTGTGTAGCCCATAGTATATCCAGGGCTTCTTTGAGGAGTCACGGTTGCTGTTGTTGTTAAGTGCCATCTACTCTGTTCCAAATCATAGCGGCCCTATGTAGATAGAGTTTCCAAGGAGCTTGCAGTTAGCAGTCCAGTGCTTATCCTACAGCTCCACACCAGGACTCCTTCAGGAGCTACTGCTCTTGTTAAGTGTTGTTGAGTTGGATTCAACTCCTAGCTATCCTGTTTAGAATTTCTGAGGAACTGTTGGTGGGTTTGAAGCACCAACCTTGTGGTTACAATACCACACCAGTCCCCACCAGGTGGGTTTAAGCGGCCAGCCTTTAGGTGAGCAGCCACTCATGGACCTTTGAAACAAAACACGTGCTAAGGCTCAAGCTCTTTCTTCAGGGCAGAGCTCTTCAAGTCTGCTCTCAGAATCTATCTTTATTTAAAACAAACATTTTTTGAATAAACATAACCATGATTATCTGGTTCTCAAACCCACAACTGACCCATTGGAGTAGATTTGGAAGATGGATAAAGAAACTAGCCCAGGTAAAGGCTTGTGTCCTAACACATCAAAACACAAAGGTCTGTCAGTATGGGAAGAATTAGTAAAATGAAACAAACACAAAACTTAAATAAAATCTAACAAAATAGAAACACATCTTAAATATCCCCCAGCCTTTATGATTTATTAGCACAATATAATGACAAATATGTAATCTATTGATGCTGTGTCATTGACAAAACTTTAAATATGTTAGCTATATGCTGGGGTCAGGATCAGCTATAGGATTAGCACTAGACAGCTAACCCCAAGACTGATGGTTCAAACCCACCAACTGCTCCTTGGAAATCCTATACAGAGTTGCTATGTGTAGGAACCAACTCAGCGGCACTTAACACAACAGCATGTACTGTGTTTAAGAATGCAAGAAAAGTATCTATGTTTCAAATGACTTCCTTCCCAGCCAAAGAGGTTAAAATTCTAAACAAAACCCATTGGCATCTAGTTGATTCTAACTCATGGTGATTTCATGTGCATCAGAGTAGACCTGTACTCTATGGGATTTCCAGTAGCTGATTTCTGGAGGCTGTTCTTCTGTGGTAAAGCTGGATGGGCTTGAACTACCAACCAATTGCTCAGCACAAGTCTTTTGCTCCACCCAGGGCCTGAAAACGCTAGCACTTGTAGCAAGAGGCCTGGTGATGCTCCCTCTCAGTGATATGTTCTCTTGTTGCCTTTCCCTGGGTGATGAAAGGTCAGATGATCTGGATGGAGTCCACGCGGTGCATGGTATACATGTGCTCGCCGAAGCTCCGCAGCCTGCAGGAGATGGAGGAGCATGAGATGCACCTTTCTGACATTGCACCCCATGATACCACCAGAGACCTCATCCTCCTGAACCAGCAGCGGCTGGCTGAAATAGAGCTGTCCAATCAGCTGGAGAGGAAGAAGGAGGAGCTGAGGGTCCTTTCCAAGCACCTGGCCATAGAGAAGAAGAAAACAGAGACCTTGCTTTATGCCATGCTGCCTGAACACGTGGCCAACCAACTGAAGGAGGGCAAGAGGGTGGCTGCAGGTACTGTAGGCATGCCCTTCCCAGGGCATGTGAGCAGGCTCTGAATCCAGGCAGATCTGAGTTTGAATTCTGGCACTGTTACTTGTTAGCTAGTCTTGGGCTAAATGCCTGATATGTTTATCTTCAGTTTTCTGCTCTCTAAATGGAGAATAATAAGAATAATACAGGATTAAATAAAAATGTCTCTCATGTACATGTACATCTCATGGACATGTACATCTACTAGGTTCTCAAAGGATTGAAAGGAGCCCCAGTGGCACAATAGTTAAGCAGTCGGCTGCTGTCTGAAAGGTTGGCAGTTTGAACCCATCTGTTACTCTGTGGAAGAAAAGATCGGGTGATGTAATCCCATACAGATTGTTGCTGTTGTTAGGAGCTGTAGAATTGGTTCTGACTATAGCAACCATATGTGTAACAGAGCATAACGCTGCTGGTCTTGTACCACCATCACAGTTGCTGCCATGTTTGAGTCCATTGTTGCCGATTGTTGTTAAGGTCCGACTCATAGCAACCCTGTACAGGGTTTCTTAGGCTGTAAATTTTTGCGAGAACAGAAAGCCTCATCTTTCTCCCATGGACTTTGTGGTTCACTGGACTCAGTGCTTATCCTCAGTGCCACCACCTTCCTGTTTCAGATTGTTGTTGTTGTTGTTAAGTGCCATCGCGTCAGTTCCGGCCCATAGCAACCCTGTACAGGGTTTCTGAGGCTGTAAATCTTTATGGGAACAGAAAGCCTCATCTTTTTCCTGCGGAACAGCTGGTAGTTTCGAACTGCTGACCTTAAGGTTTGCAGCCCAATTCATAACCACTACACTACCAGAGATCCTTTGTTTCAGATTAGAGCCTTGGAAAATCTATGGGGCAGTTCTACTCTGCCCTATAGGGTTGCTATGTTGTTGTTGTTAAGTGCCGTTGAGTCGACTCAGATCCAAAGCAACCCTGTACAGGGTTTCTGAGGAGTAGTTGGTGAGCTTGAACCACCAACCTTGTACTTCAAGTGGCTTTGCAGTCTGGTGCATTAACCCACAGCACCATACCAGGGTTACTATGAGTCAGAATCAATTCAATGGCACACAACAACTAAAGATTTAGCAATGTGTCCTGAGGCTGGTCTCACTGCTCAGTGACCATGGAAAGGGTTCTTAGCTATATGACCAGAGATAATAAACTCACACATTATTAGCTAAACCACAGGGTGGCTCTGAAGGAACAAGCTACTTCTGGAGGGAGGGATGGCATGTACTAAGCTCACTATTTGTCATGGGTGTTGTTTGTCAGCATACTTGCATAGTGAAAGCCTATATGAACTTGAGTTGGGTCTTGAGGCTGAATCTCAGCAAGTGAAGAAGGGAACGACATTTCAGGTGAAGGGGCTAGCAAGGACAAAGGCAAAGCAGCTTGAAAATAAACATTGTCCTAGAACATGGGGATGCATGGAAAAACCCGGGGATTCAAGAAACTGGGCAGAGAGATAGATGCTTGGGGGATACAGGTGTGGGTCATAGAGAAGGAAATCTCACTTTGGAGACAGTGGGGATGCTTTTTCCCTTATAATGGAAGTGTCATGATTCATTTCATAAGTATGGTTCTGGCTGCAGTGTAGGGAACACACATCAGAATGAGGCAGACAGAAATCTTACTACACACTAAAGCAGCCTCCCTAGGAATCTGCAGGAATCATAATTGATAAGATGAGGAAGGTAAGAGAAAGGAGAAAAGATGAGATGTTTTATCTAAAGGTGGAGTCAGAAAGAAGAGCAGGTTCAGAGGGAGACTGTAAGGTCCCGTTAGAGCTGTTTCATTTGAGATGCCTGAAGAGGTAGCTGTGGAGGCCAGCGTGGTGTGAAGAGTAAGAGAGAGTATCGGGATGGGGCCAGAGGACAGTGGGAGCACATCCCATGGTACTGTGGACCACGGGAAGGATTTTGTATTTCATTCTAAGTGTTCTGGAAGTTGTGGAGGGCTCACGGTGGAGACATTGGGGTAGTGGAGGGCGAATTTGACTTACAACGCATCTGGCTGCTACATGGAAATGACAAGGCACTGGTGCAGACCTGGGTTCATTTGCCAGTTAGTGCACCTCAATGTGTGTTGTCTGTCAGCAGAGGCTTCTGCATCATGATACTGAGGGTTCAAGGGGGCTGCCAGGTTAAGATGGACCAGGAAGAAAGGCCTGGCATCTATATCGAAAAATCAAACAGTGAAACCTTATGGATCATAACAGTCCAATCCCCACCCATCATAGGGATAGTGCAGGACTGGCAGTGCTTCATTTCCCTTTTTATGACTTCCCCATGCATCAGGAGCCAACTCCATGACAGTTTACAACAACAAAAGTAGAAGCAGGGGACAAGTCAGGGGGGTATGGTAGAGGACCTTGCATCTCCTACAGCTCAGGTTCTGCTTGGCCCTCCTGCTGGGACTTTCTCTGAGTTAACTTATGTCATCTCAGACTTGTCTGTCACCTCTAATAAGGTAGTTCTACTGCCCTTCAGGACCCTGTCTATCCACATGTGTGATTCTCCCAGCACGGTTACTAGATCACAGCAGGCCCTCAGAAATATCCACTGAGTGGATGGAGAATGGCAACCAGCTCTGTTTCCACCACACCCAAGATGGCTTGGTTCCCAAAAGGCAGGTGAATCTATACATGGAACAATGATGATTGCATGTCCTTGTCTGTCACTGATACTGGGTTCCTGTTACAGGAGAATTTAAAACCTGCACAATTCTTTTCAGCGATGTGGTGACCTTCACTAACATCTGTGCTGCTTGTGAACCTATTCAGATAGTGAACATGCTGAATTCCATGTACTCCAAGTTCGACAGGCTAACTAGTGTCCACGATGTCTACAAAGTAAGTATTTTGTGCTGTGGTGAAGTTAGTGTATTCAGGCAAGACAGGTACTTCAATATTAGTCTTCCTTTGCCACTGTCTTCACTGGTCTGGGGTTTGATGTGTATATTTTTCAGAGATCATCCAGAGAAACAGAACCCACATGCAGAGCAATATAAAAGGATGAGTGAAAAATTATTCTTATTTCGGCTCTAGAATTTATTTTAGTCAACTTTTAGAAAAGCCAAAGACATCAGTTTTTCAACATAATCTCTATGCTTTTCAATAAACTTTGTCTATCTGTCAACAAGCTTTCATATTCCTTTATTAAAAAAAAAATGTTTTAGGCTGAGCTGTGAGCCACAAATGCACCACTGTTGTCTTCACTTCTTCATCAGAGGTGAATCTTAGACCTCAAAGGGCTGCTTTCAGGGGACCAAACAGGTGAAAGTTCAATGGAGCAAGATCAGGACTAGAGGGAGGATGCTTTAACACCTCAACATGAAGTTTTTGCAGAGTGTCAATAGTGTGGGCAGAAGTGTGCAGAGGATGAGCATTTTCATGCAAGATCACAATGCCCTTTGCCTTGAATCTGAAGTTTAGGCTTCAGCTTTTCAGTGAGCATCTCACTGTAAGGAGCACTAGTGATTGTTGAACCTTTTTGCTGATAGTATTCTAATACTGGCCTTTTAAACGCCCAGAAAACTGTACCATCAATTTTCCAGCTGATGGCTGATTTTTTTTTTTTTTAACTTGATCAGCAATTGAAGATGTTTCCATACCCTGTCATTTAATCTCAGGCTTACAGTGATGAATCTATGTCTTATGACCAGTAACAATTTTTTAAAAGCAGTTTTTACCTTACTTCGTTGCTGTTGTTGTTAAGTACTGTTGAGTCAGTTGTGACTCATAGAGGCCCAGTACAGACAGGGTTTCTGAAGAGCAACTCGTGAGCTTGAACTGCAGACCTTGTGGTTCAAACTGACCTTGTAGTCCTGCACTTATTCTACAGTGCTATGTTTGCAGACGTCCAAATGCTTTGGTTTATGCTGTTTCTTGAGTTGTTTCAATACCCATCTCACAAACTTTTCTAAACCTAAATCTGTCATAGATTATTTCATAGGCAGAGCCATAGCTAATTTGCAAATGCTTTGTCACATGATCTCCTGTCACTCATCTATCTATTCAACAGAATCATTTCATGTGCACACTTAATGTTGTCATCAGCGGTGGACGACTGTTTTAATATAATTGGCATGGAGATAATATGTAATTATACATATGCTTTGTTGTTGTTATTGTTAGGTGCCATCGAGTCAGTACCAACTCACAGTGACCCTATGCACAACAGAATGAAACACTGCCCGATCCTGGGCCAACCTCACAATTGTTGCTACACTAAGCCCATTGATCCTGCTACTTTGCCAATCCATCTCACTGGGGGTCTTCCTATATTTCTCTGACCCTCCGCCTTACCAAACATGATATCCTTCTCCAGCGACTGGTCCCTCCTGATAATATGTCCAAAGTATGAGAGATGAAGTTTGGCCATCCTGACCTCCAAGGAACACTCTGGCTGCACTTCTTCCAACACAGATCTCTTGGCACTTTTGGCAGTCCATGGCACTTTCAATATTCTCCTCCACCACCACAATTCAAAGGCATCAATTCTTCTACGGTCTTCCTTATTCACTGTGCAGCTTTCGCATGCATATGAGGTGATTGAAAATACCATACATATGCATATGCCCTATGAAATGAAGTCCTGGAGTAGCACTATAGGATAAGTACTGGACTGCTAACCACAAGATCAGTGGTTCAAATCCACCAGCCACTCCTCAGAAACCCAATACAGTTACTGAGTCAGAACTGACTCGTCAGCACTTAACAACAGCATGCCCTATGAGAAAGAAGACAGAGCTCTTGGGTGGTAGAGAAGACTAATGTAATTGACTGCTAGCTGGACGGTTGGACATTTACATCTATCCAGAGGATCCTCAAAAAAAAAAAAAAAAAAATTTGGTGACTACTTCCAAAAGATTGGTCATTGAAATGAAAACTTTATGGGTCACAGTTCTGCTCTGATACACATGTGATCTCCATGAGTCAGAATTGGCTCAGCGACAATGCGTATATATCTATATAACTGATATATGTATTGAGAGGTTGGTAGATAAATAGAAAGATACACACACACACACACACACACGAGGTTTCCAAAATTTCATAAAAGAATTACATTCTCTTAATTTCATTTTTCCATGAACTTTTGAAAGCCTCAAAGAATTCCTTCTCTTCAGGAAACCTCAGTTTTTGCTCTTAAGGCCTTTAATGATGTGAATGAAACCTACCCACATCATTGAGGGTAATCAACTTTACTTACTGTCAACTGATTGCAAATGTTCATCACACCAACAAAATACATTCACAGCAACATTTGGACTAGTGTTTGACCACACAAGCGGGCACCATAACCTAGTCTAGTTGACACACAAAATTCACCATTACAGTGTGGAGAGGTGTAGTAGGGTGAGGAGAAAAGATGAAAAGAGAATAGGAGGTATTTTTGCAATTTTTACTTTGGTGGAATCTTTTATAGTATCCAGTGTTAAGCTAGTGCTCTGGAACCTTTGATGGAAAATGTTCTTTTCCCAGAAAATAGTTCTCCCACTCCTTCAATTAAGCAGAAAGTTTAATCCAAAGAATAAATTATTTCATCTATAACACCCTGTGGCCACCCCAGGATTTCATCTTCTTTGGAATTTATTTCTTGTTTCTCTCATGGTTATATCCAGACACTTGGTCTTCTCAAATCTTCTCTCACACTCCTACCAAATAATCACAAATATCCATGTGGTCTTTTGACAATATGGGAAATGAAAAAAAATGTTGAGTGTTGTGTTTAGCGCCTGCCCATTTTTCCTTACAGGTGGAAACAATCGGAGATGCCTATATGGTGGTAGGGGGAGTGCCAGTCCCTGCTGAAAGTCACGCTCAAAGAGTGGCTAATTTTGCTCTGGGGATGAGAATTTCTGCAAGAGAGGTGATGAATCCTGTTACTGGAGGACCCATCCAGGTAGAGATGCTTAATATGGAACACTTGATATCAAACGTCTCACCTTAAAAAAGAAGAGTTCTGTTTATTAATCTGCTCATATGGATTAATGTTACAGTAATTTAAATGAGCAGTTTGTCCCAACTCTTCTCTTATTTTGCATATGTTCTTAAGTAACAGAGATGTTGGACTAAAGGTTGGAGTTTCAGGTCCATCCAGAGACACACTGGAAGAAAAGCTTGGTGATCTATTTTCAAAACTATCAGCCACTGAAAACCCTGTGGAGCATATATGGCTCTTCTCTCACCATTGAGTCAGAATCAACTCGACAACAACTGGCTCAACATTTATTAGTGAGGGTATTACTTTCTGAACTTCTCTCAAATTTCAGAAGGGGCTTATGGAGGTCCTGGATTTCATGAAAACTTCCTTTTGTCCATCACTCAGGGCAATATTGAGCCCCTCTTCCCATTTACCTTGGGGGGGCTCAACTCTTTTTGAAAACAGAATATTTATAATCTCTGCTTTCTTTGATCCAGCATTTCAACAAGTGGCTCAAGTTTACTGAATAGCCAACTTTTGCCACTTGGTGAAATTGGGAATCTAAGCTGCCATCTGACAAGCCAAGAACTCAGGTTGAAGTGTGAAACTGCTTGGAGCCAGCAGGCTGGCCACTGGGTACGTGAGATCGCAGAACAGCCTTTCCTCCACCACAGGCCATTAGCCCAAATGTCTATTTGTTTCTCGTAGGAAGCTGCTCTTCCAAGTCTGGAAGTTTGCTCACACTTACCAAAGTTGAACAGTCTGGGCATGAAAAGTAAGGGTCTTCTTCTGGAATTCAGCTAACCAGAAGCCAACTGCCCTGAGGTAGCTCAGAGCACTGTGTCTTGTATTTCTCCACCTTTTTTACATCTAGAGCCCTCCCTGGCTTCTTATCAGTCAAAAATTCAAAATGATGATCTGACTAGAAATAAATAAAACTAGTTGTAAGATGGAATGTGATTCTTCCAAATTATAAATGCCTTTCAGGAGACTCTAAATCTGCACTCCCCCCACCCTCACCACAATGATGTAAGAATGCAGACTCTAAGTAAAAGTTGGCTTTTGGTGATCAAAAGACTCAAGTGTCCACAAGGTTTGACTTAAAAAAAAAATCAGAGGGAGACTTCCATGTGGGAGACCCAGACTTGATTCCCAACCAATGTACCTCAAGCACGGCCTCATTGTGGAGGTATGCGTGATGCTAGGTTTCAGCAGAACTTCCAAACTAAGATGGACAAGGAAGAAAGACCTGGTGATCTACTTCAGAGATACATCCAATGGAGACTAGAGGGAAGAAGAATCAGAATGGGAAGTAATGAGATTATACAAGTGAGAAGGCCAGTTAACAGATAAATGTTTCTGTTAAAAGCCTCTAATACAAGCTACTGAAGAAGCATCACTGAAAATATATGGTTATATAGATAGAAAGAATGAACAAACTCCATGGCAAACCACCACCATATAAATAATATATATATGTGTGTGTGTTTATAATATATTGCTGGCTCTGTAGGATAAGCACTTGCCTTTGAACCACAAGATCCACAGTTCTAGCCCACCTGCTGCTCCAAGGGAGAAAGATGAGACTTTCTACTCCCGTAAAAATTTCCAGCCTCAGAAACCCTGGGCAAGGCGACTATGAGTAAGTACCAACTCGGCGGCACTTGCCAACAACCACTCCTCATTTAATGAGTGTTTTGTTATCCAATATTTTGTACTTACAATAGTAAAAAATCTACTATGCAACAATTTTGCACATTAACAACATATATCTGGCAGTAACAAATGCCAAGGCAAGAGTAACGCTGGCTGTGATGGTTAAAGTCATGTGTCAATTTGGCTGGGCCATGATTCTTAGTGGTTTGACAGTTGCGTAATGATGCAATTTGGCAGGTTGGTTATGCATTGATGTAATTCAGCAGCTAGTCACCTTCCATTTTGTGATCTGAAGTGGACATCCTTTGTTCCCACATAATGACCTGGTCTTTGGAACCTAATCACTAAGTGAGTAGTGGATATATTTGTATCTGTCTATATTTATGTATATGAAATCACTCTAGGTAAGAAGAGCAAGACTGAAATCCACCCACTAGAAAAGACTCACTCAGAAAAGGATAGGGGAAGGGGAATATCAATAAAGATGAAAATAAAACCACCCTACTAAGAATGAAAGTAGACAATGAATTCCTGGACACTTTCGTGATGGATTTACCAAGAAGAAAATTGGAAAGGATATTAGATAAGAAGAGGGACATATAAAGAGAACAAAGATAAGAAAGAAAAGACCAAAATGGATGTCAGAAGAGACTCTGAAATTTGCTCTCCAGCATAGAAATGCTAGAGTGAATGGAAGAAATGAAGAAGCAAAAGAGCTGAACAGACAATGTCAGACAAAGTTGAGAAGACAAAGTCAACTTTTATAATGAAATATACAAAGACCTGGAGTTAGAAAACCAAGAGAGAACAACATGCCCAGCATTTCTCAAGTTGAAAGAACTGAAGAAAAAATTCAATCCTCAACTTGCAATATTGAAGAATCCCATGGACAAAATACTGAAAGACACAGAAAGCATCAAAAGAAGATGGAAGGTATACACATAATCACAGTACCAAAAATAAATGGCCACTTTTTAACCATATCAAGAGGTTGCATATGATCAAAATCCAGTATTACTGAAGGAAGCAGTCCAAAGTACACTGAAGGCAATGGTGAAAAACAAGTCTCCAGAAGTTGATGGAATACACATTGAAATCTTTCGACAAACTGAAAGACAAACTGGAGGCACTCACTCATCTAGGAAATTTGGAAGACAGCTATCTGGACAACTGACTGAAAGACATCCATATTTGTGCCTGCTCCAAAGAGAGGTGACCCAATGGAATGTGGAGGTCATCGAACAATATCATTAACATCACATGCAAGCAAAATTTTACTGAAGATAATTAAAAAATGGTTGCAACAGTATCTCAACAAGGAACTGCCAGAAACTCAAGCTGGATTTATAAGAGTCTATGGAACTAGGGATATTGTTGCTGATGTCAAATGGATCTTGGCTGAAAGCAGAGAATGCCAGAAAAAGGCTTACTTGTGCTTTATTGACTATACAAAGGTTTTTGACTGTGTGGGTCATGACAAGCTATCAGTAACATTGTGAAGAGTGAGTGTTCCAGAACACTTAATGGTGCTCATGAGGAACCTGTACGTAGACCAAGAAGCAGTTGTTTGAACAGAACTAGAGGATACTAAATAGTTTAAAATTATGACAGGTGTGTGCCAACATTGTATTCTTCCACCATATTTATTCAATTCATATGCTGAGCAAATTATCTGAGAAGCTGGATTATATGAAGAAGAACATGGCATCAGGATTGAAGGAAGACTCATTAACAACCTGCGATATGCAGATGATGCAATCTTGCTCGCTGAAAGCAAAGAGGACTTAAAATACTTACTGATGAAGATCAAAGTCCACAACTTTCAGTATGGATTGCTCCTTAAGGTAAAGACCACAAAAATCCTCACAACTGGACCAATAAATATAATCATGATAAATGGAGAAAAGATTGAAGTTATCAAAGACTTCAATTTGTTTGGATCAATTGTCAACACTCATAGAAGCAGCAGTCAAGAAATCAAATTACATATTGCATTAGGCAAATCTGGTGTACAAAACCTCTATAAAGTGTTTAAGAACAAAGATGTCAGTTTGAGGACTAAGGTGCATGTGAATAAACAAATCTGTCTTGGAAGAAGTGCAGCCAGAGTGCTCTTTAGAAGCCAGGATGGTGAGACTTCGTCTCTTGTAATTTGGACATGTTATCAAGAAGGACCAGGCCCTGGAGAAGAAAGAACATCATACTACATAAAGTGGAGCATCAGCAAAAAAGATGAAGACCGCCAATAAAATGGGCAGGTAGAGTGGCCGCAGCAATGGGTTTAAGTGTAACAACCATTGTGAGTACGGCGCAGGACCAGGCAGCATTTCATTCTGTTCTGCGTAGGTCACTATGTGTCGGAGCCAACTCGACAGTATCTAACAACAACAAACACAAGAAAGGAGTCAGTAGCACTGTGGTTAATGCACTCGATTTCTAACCAAAATGGTCACCAGTTTGAACCCACCAGCTGCTCTACGCAGTCTGCTTCCATAAAGATGTGGAAACCCTATTGGGTGGTTATAGTCTTCCCTGTAGGGTTGCTAGGAGACAGAATTGACTCCATGACAATTGGTTTGGTTTGGGCTTTAAGCACATGGAAGTGCATTTTATATTATTAGCCATCAGGGAAATGCAAATTAAATGCGAGTTATCATTTCCTAGCCACTAGAAGACCAGCTAGGAGCCCTGGTATGGCACTGTAAGATAAGCATTGGACTGTTAACCTAAAGATCCCTAACCACCAGCCACTCACTCCATGGAGGAAAGATGAGACTGTCTGTTCCTGTAAAGATGTATAACCTCAGAAATCATCCTATACAGGAGCTGGTTCTGTGGTAGTGAGTTGAGTGAGAGACCAAACAGTGGTGAGACTGTGCGGCACCTGGAAGTATCATGTTGATGATTCGAATGTAAAATGGTACAACATCTTTGGGAAATCATTGGGCAGTTATTATTTTGGTAACATTAAATATACATCTACCTTGTGACCTTGAAATTCCAAGTAATTACCTAAGAGAAATGAAAACATGTCCACAAAAAGATCTTTATAGGATTGTTCATAGCAGTTTTATTTATATTAGCTCCAAACTGGAAGTGACCAAAACGCTTATGAAGAGAATGGCTAACCAGATTGTAGTGTGTTCTTACAATAGAATACGATTTGACAACAAAGGAATTAACTACTGATACAAGCAACACTTCAAGTGAACCTCAAAATCATCAATTTGAGTAAGTGAATCCAGACAGAAAACAGTATGTATATGCTATATAATTCTTTTTATGTGAAAGAAATAACATAGTGGTTGCCTCTAAAGAGAGGTATGGAGTGTAACAGTAAAGGAAACTAAGATGATTGTGTGAGGTAATGGAGTTATTTTATATTTTACCTTGGATGGTAGCTACGGGGACATAAAAACCTGTCAGAGTCTATGGAGCCAAACACTTAGATCTGCGGTTTAATTTTGGGTACATTATGCCTCAATTTAGACACAAAAAAACAAGAGTATGAAGTGGTCTCTTCAGTGAGGTTTTCTCTGTACAGATCAGAGTGGGGATCCACACTGGGCCTGTCTTAGCTGGCGTCGTGGGGGACAAAATGCCACGCTACTGCTTGTTTGGTGATACTGTGAACACAGCTTCTAGAATGGAGAGTCATGGCCTTCCCAACAAAGTGCACCTCAGCCCAACTGCTTACAGGTACCATTCCTGCTTCTCCTGGTCCTTCCCTTCCTCCCGTCAGAACTTAGTGAGCCCACTCAGGGTAAAAGCAGCCATGGGGGAGGCGAGGGGAGAAAACCCATGTGCTTTTCTTCCACACCACACTGTAAGCAGACCTCGTGTCAGTCAATCAAGACCTGAGGAGCCTCTACTCTCAGATAATGTTTGCTTTCAAGGAGCAGATGGGTTAGTTCAGGAATTGGCAAATTATCACCCCTGAGCCAAATCCAGCCTGCTGCTTGTGTTTGTAAATAAAGTTTTATTGGCACACATCCATGCTTTTTTTTTTTTACACATTGTCTATGTCTGATTTCATGATACGACAGTGTTGAATGATTGTGAAAGAGACCATTTCTCTCACAAAGTGGAAAATAATTGCTATATGGTTTTTTAGAAATGTTAGTGGAAGAAGAAATATTTATAGATAATTATTTTTAAAGTGTGATAAATACAATGATAAGGATACACATGAACAGCTCTTACTTGAACATTGATTACAGCCTGCATTCTGTTATCAATCTTTTACATTGCTCATTTATTATTATAACAAGTCGATAAAGGTGGATCCGTTACTCTTCCTACTTATACATGAGAGCTCCTTGTAATTTTATATGAATGATATATTTAAACATAGAATAAAAATATTAGATGGTATCTAACATAATGGAGTCCTGGTGTGGCACTGTAGGTTAATGCGTCAGACTGCAAAGTTGTTTGAATTGCAAGGTCAGCGGTTCAAGCTCACCAGTTGCTCCTTGGAAACCCTATACAGGGTCGCTATGGGTTGGAATCGACTCGACGGCACATAACAACAACCACATAATGGTAGGATTTGCCAAGAATGGAGTGTTGCAAACAACTAAGTTACTCGACTGCTAACCTAAGAGTTAATGGTCCATGTTCACCCAGAGGCACTTCAGAAGAAAGGTCTGGTGATGTACATCTGTAAAAATCAGCTATTGAATACCCTACAGAGCACAGTTCTACTACAGTACTCAGAGCTACTATAGTATAGTTGTTGTGAGTCAACTTGACGGTGATTGTTTTTTCAATGGGAGCTCAGGAGAAGTGTGCCTAGCCCAGTCAAGAAAGGATTTGTTGAGACGATTTCTTAGTGGAACCTACAGAGTGAGTTCAAGAGCTGGATTTAGCTAAGCATGGGGTAATGGGAATGAAAACCAAGCCACAGAGATGAGTGCAGAATATGTGGTGAGCACTAGAAACTTTGTTGGCATGGAAAACATGAGGCAGAGTGTGGTATAAGAGCTGTACCACTCTGAAGGTCTGGCCAGTATACTATGGTTGAGGACAAGCCCCAGTCTAGAGACAAAGACATGTCCACTCCAAAGACCCTTAGAAGGACAGATTGGAAGGTAAGAAACTGGAAAGAGAAGACCTTTCTCTTAGGAGTTAAGTCTGATCCATAGCATTACTAGTGGGAATATAGTGGAAAGGAAAATTAGTGAATCTTGGAAATAGCTAGAAATGAAGGCAAGAAAGAGGGTGGAGCCTCAGATGTCCCCAGATCTCTATCCTGGGTGACTGGATGCTGATTGGCGGTATCTCTAACCGAGACAGGACAGATCAGAGGAGTAACAAAAGCATAGGCCGAAGGTGAGTTTCCTGTTGTGAACACTGCATTACAAGGAACTCTGGAGCACATGGGTCGAGAACCAGAAGCTCGATTGATGAACTTTGGAGTTGAGTTGGAAGTTGGAGCTCTAGACCAAGAGTGGTGTTGGTGGTGGTGGTGGTTATGTGATGTGGAGTCAGTTCCGATTCATAGTGTCCCTGTACAGGGTTTCCGAGGCTATAAATCTTTACGGGAGTAGAAAGCCTCATCTTTCTCCCATGGAACAGCTGGTAGTTTCGAACTGCTGACCTTGTGGCTCACAGCCCGATTCGTAACCACTACGCTACCAGAGTAAGCAACATAAAATCAGGACCAGTTGCTATCAAGTCAGTTCAGACTCATGGTAAGTCCAGGCATGTCAGAGTAGAATCATGCTCCCCAGGGTTTTCAATGGCTGAGATTTTGAAAGTATAGATCACCAGGTCTTTCTTTTGAGGCATCTCTTGGTGAACTCAAACTACCAACCATTTAGCTAGCAACCAAGTACAATAATCATTTGTATCACCGAAGCAACATATGATTTGGTAATTAAAGCAGTGGATGTTGATGAAATCACCTAGGTAAGGATTCAGTGTGGCAAGAACTATGGATGAGAAGGGAATATTGGGAAGGACCCACACTGTGTGATGCGTGGAGGAAGAAGAACCATGTAAGAGACAAGAGGAAGAATTAGAAAAGAACCGGGCGAGTTCAGGGTGAGAAGCACCATTGTGGGTAGCTTTAAAGAGGAAGAACAGAACAAAAATCTCAAATATGCTAGCAAGGATTGAGAACATAGTCAGACTTTGGGGCCATTACCAAAAAGAGATTGCAGAGATGGGAGTTGGTGCTGGAAGAAGAGAGAGTGAGTTTGAATTCAAGCAGAAGGTAGTCAGATGAGCTGTTTTCTGCTCTTGAGGATGGAAGAGAGCCGAGCATGCTGGCGGGCTGACGGGGAGATGCAAACGGAAAAGGAGTTGACAGTAATAGAGGAAGTAGGTGCTGTGGGACAAGGCCCAGAGGGGGAGGGAACAAGAAGGACACTTCCTTCTCTGAGATGGAGGAAGAATGAGTAAGACACTCTTACAGTGGAGTAAGACATCACATCTACAATGATTGCAGTTGTGTAGCTGGGCAGGGTGACAAAGTAGAAGCCATGGTCAGCAGCTTGAGTGAGGGAGCAGGTGTCAAATAGGGCACATGTGTGGGAGGTGGTCAAGGGTGTGCAAAGGCTTGCTGGAATGCTGAGGCCCAGCTCAGGCAGGTGGAGTGCCCTTGAATTTGAGACGTCACTAGTGGGCATAGTCCTGTGATGTTTCACCAACACCACTCTGCTGCCAGTATGATAAATAAGTCTGCAAACAAGAAAGCATTGCTTAATTATCCCATAACTCAGTTGCTTCTCACCATACCATCCCTAAAGTCTTCAGTGCCTGAGTAGCAGAAATGCTGGTGGAGAAAGCTTAGGTGGTTAGGATGAGTATGAAGACACCTGCAGGGCCACAGGTGTTCAGTAGAAGATGGAAAACAGGTGCAGATACCCAAGGAGCCTCTGTTTAAGAACCACGTGGTGAGTAGCAGCCACAGGCATCACTGTGCAGAGGGGTGACTGGAAGTCCTGTGTATGAGGGATGTGCTGGGTCACCTGTGATGGCCATGCCTCTCCTGTCTCCCCCTGTGCAGGCCCTGACTGATACAGCCCACCACTCTCCCCTGTCCCGGGTCCTGCATCCCAGACTCCTCCTCTCACATTACCTTTTGCCTGGTCACCAAATCTCTGATGTCTAGTGCATTTCTTTCTCTGTACAGAGCCCTGGAAAATCAAGGATTTGAAATAATTGAGAGGGGTGAAATCGAAGTGAAGGGTAAAGGGAAAATGACCACATACTTCTTGATCCAGAATTTGAAGGCCACGGAGAATGAGATCATGGGGAGGCCTAGAAACCCTCCAGATCACAAGGGTAAGCAAAACAGGAGAAGCCTCATCATTAGTGTTGAATAATTTTTCTATCTATCAACAGCATCAGCTCTGCATGGTATGGCTTATGGGTTTACAGGGTCAGTAAGTGTGCTTTTGGCACCTGCTGCCAAGCTGCATCTTTCCCTTTGGTTGAAAGATAACAACCATCGTTTGCCATTCATATAATCCAACTCATGGTGACCCATGTGTGTTAGAATAGAACTGGGTTTTCAGTGCATGCTTTTTGCCAACACTTTCTTCCATGGGGCCTGAGGGGACTCAAACCGACAGCCTTTTGGTTAGCAGTTGGGTGCACTAACTGTGCCACCCAGGAAGTCTCCATTTGATTACAGCTACTGAGAACTGGGCCGCATCTCCCAGCATGCCCCTGTCACAGCACAGTCAGACCACCAGTTTCTCAGAAGAGAAGAGTAATTAAACATTTTTTTTATCTTCTGTTCTTTCCTTTTCCTTGTTAAAAGTGGACAAAGTAAAGAAACCAAAACCCAAACCAAATTCATAGAGACCTCTATAGGGTTTCTGAGACTATACATCTTTACAAAAGCAGGCAGCCTCATTTTTCTTCTGAGGAGCGGCTGGTGGGTTTGAGCTGCCTACCTTGGAGTCAGCAGCCCAATGCCTAATCCACAGTGCTACCAGGGACGTTATGTATGCCTGGTGGTTGAGGAAGAGAGAAAGGCAGGGCTACAAGTAATGGCACAAGACAAGGCAGAGATGTGCTCAGTTGTGTCTAACGCAAACCCTACGCTACTTTCTCACTTCCACCCTGCAGGTGGGTCCCAAACTTTACATTTGAGAAACACTGTTTTAGAACATGACTTGGGGCAATACAATCTAACCCACTTTCAGTTCTGAGCTGGAGAAAAACAAAACAAACAAAAAACATAGTCTCCGGGTAGATTAAGTAAAGAGTACCTCAAATAGAAGATCTCAGTGGAGGCCCCCTTACTTAAGAGAAAGCAGGGAGAGAGATGGGGCTAGATACCCATTCCCTAAATAGTGCTTCTGTGCAAATTAGGAAAAGGTGGCCTGTGGGAAACAGGTAGCACTCCTGCAAGGCTGACCATAGAGGAAAAGACATCTGATCACATACCCAGACACCTCTGTGTGGTGAAACCTCACAACGCTGTGTGTGGCCCTAAGAAGTGAGGATCCTGGCCCCTTTCTTGTTTCTTATACACCTGTCCCTCACCCTTCGGGAATGATTTCCCACTGTGAGCTGTGGCTCTCAGGATCTGGGAGGTCCCATCTCATTGTCTCTTCCCCTCTACCTTCCCCTCTACTCTCAGGGAGCCCCATATCCTGATACTGCTTCTCAAGTGTTGCTAGAATGTAATCCCATCACCTGGACCAGCCCTCAACCCCATCAACTAAGGGCTGAGGAATTTCCCCAGGGACCATTGCTGTCTTCCACACAAATTGCACCTCTCAAAACCAGTGTTGGAGATGGAAAGATACTGAAACCTATCTTAGGAGTTTCTGGGTAACAAAAATGGTTAAGCACTTGACTGTTAGCCAAAAGGTTGGTGATTGGAACTCACCCAGAGGTACCTCAGAAGAAAGGTCTGGTGATCTGCTTCCAGAAGGGCACAGCCTTGAAAACCCTATAGAGCACATTTTTACTTTGCAACATATGGAGTCATCATGAGTAAGAATTAACTTCAGAACAACTGGTATTTGTGTGTCTGTGTGTTATATGTGTTAATGTTGTTGTTAGCGCTATGGAATTGGCTGTCATAATGACCCCATGCAACTCAGAACAAAGCACTACTCAGCCCTGCACCATCCGTGTGATCAGTTGTGGATTAAACTGTTGTGATGCACACTTGTCATTGGCTGAAATTTGGAAGTGGTTCACCAGACCTTTCTTCCTATTCCATCTTAGTCTGGAAGCTCTGCAGAAACCTGTTTGGCAAATATTCTTCCCAGTTTTGCTCCTTTCTTTGCATGGGAGATGCACACTGGCTTTTTTAATGGTTTGCAGAGACAGAAGATAAACTTCAGGGGATTATAGTCTATAATATACACGCTTTAGCCAGAGCTAAGAACTGTGTCTCAGACCAAAACAATAACAGTAGCAGGAGAGGCTCCCATTTGCATCCTGCTTGAAGATACTCAAAGTAACAGGAAAAAAGATAGGATGGAGGCCAGGCAAGCTCTTCTTTAACTCATTCTCCCCCTGGGCAGCACTCAGCCACTAATAGAAAAATTGGAGGTTCGACTCCACCTCGAAGTGCCTTGGAAGAAAGGCCTGGTGATCTATATCCCCCAAAAATCAGTCAATAAAAACTCTATGGAGCAGTTCTAATCTGACAGACATGGGTCTCCACGAGTCAGACCCACCAATGGCAACTGGCTTTTTGGTCGTAGGTGGTGAGCACAGCCAGGTGCTCAGAGACTTCCTATTCCCAGCAGTGACACTTAGCAGCCAGCAGTGTTCCAGTCCTTCCCTTGGCAAGCATCTGAAGGAAATACCAAAGGGGCTGCCTGGGTCCAGAAGCATCCAGGAAGGCCCTTCCGCCTCTTTTGCTCTGTGCTGTGGGGAGGCTGGGTTGTAAGCCCTTTTTTATTTTTCCTTCCCTCATGCCTTTTTTTTTTTTTGCAGAAGCAAGTGCTCAGGAACCTCAAGACAATACAACCATTGCTGTAATGAGGTATGCGGACAGTCAGCTGTCATTCCCCAGCAGTGAGGCCCACGGTGAGTCCACCAAGGATTTGGTTCAGGATGCTTCCAGCGTGTGTTGCCCTTTAGAGAAGCAGCTGATTCTGGTGGAAAGAATGGGAATGAGAGCCATGGAAACTAACTGGTTCTGCGGCAGGGCTATTGCTGTATTTTATATAAGCTCTGCTTTCAGCACCCACCTTCCAGGGAGCTCCTCATTCTGACAGGACCATGACATCACCAGGCTCCTTCATTCAACCCATAACACCATGAAGAACAGAACAACTCAATAATCCATATAAAGAGCGTGTTGATGTTGTTAGTTTTAGTCTGAGTTGATTCTGAGTCAATGGGGACACCATCTGTGCAAAGTAGAACTGCTCCATAGAGTATTCAAGACCTTTCAGACAGGTCTGTCTTCTGAGGAGTCTCTGGGTAGGTTCAAACCACCAGCCTTTCTACTGGTACTCCAGTGATTAACTATGTGTGCTACTCAGCAGTCCCCACTCAATAAAAAGCTAATTATTGCTCACTTTATTTGACAACGTCTTTACAGCTGAGTGTCTCCTGGGTCCTTGGTGCTGGGGCATTATCCTCTGATGCCTGCAGACTTTTTTCTAGTTTGGTCCCAGAATCTACAACTGAGAGAATGATTAAGCAACTTTCTGTTCAATCACTGGGGAGAGGAGACAGAGCAAGCTTTCCTCACTTGGCCGAGGGTCAGGTTCAATCTGGGGTCCTGGGAAGTGAGAAGTTTCCAGCAGACAGTCCCTAATTACTCACAGGTGTTTTTCTGCCCCTACTCTTCCCTGCTTGTCCATAGTTGCATGTGTCTGGCAGTGTTCAAGTTCTAAACAGTTGTCCTATCAAAGTATGGAACTGTACCCTTCATTGATTTAATCAACAATATTTCTTGAAAATCTGTGGACACTGTGATTTTACAGAACATTGAGGCCAGGCACTATCCCGGGATCTGTAGGTGCTCTTTGAATGCAACAGTCTCTGCCTTCATGTTGTTGTTAGACACTGTCGAATCAGTTCTAACTCTTAGCGACCCTATGTACAGCAGAATAAGACACTGCCCTGCCCTATCCCATCCTCCCAATCTTTGTTATGCTTGAGCCCACTGTTGCAGCCACTGTGTTAACCCATTTCATGGAAGGTCTTGCTTATTTTGCTGACCTTCTACTTTGCCCAAATGTTGTCCTTCTCTGGGGACTGGTACCTTGAGATAACATGTCCAAAGTACATGAGACAAGGTCTCCCTATCCTCACTTTTAAAGACAATTCTGTACTTCAAGATGAATTTGTTCTTCTGGCAGATCATGGTATGTTCCGTACTCTTTGCTAGCACCATAATTCAAGTGCCTAAATTCTTCTCTGATCTTCCTTGTTCATTGTCCAGCTTTCCAGTGCCTATCAAGTAATTGAAAATAACATGGCTTGGGTAGGTGTACTTTAGTTCTCAAGGTGGCATCTTTGCTTTTTAACACTTTAAAGTGTCAAAAAGGTCTTTTGCAGCAGATTTGCCTAATGCAATATGTTGTTTGATTTCTTAATTGCTGCTTCCATGATCATTGATTATGGATCTAAGTAAAATTAAATCCTTGACAACTTCAATCTTTTTTCCATGAATTATGTTTCTTATTGGTCCAGTTGTGAGGATTTTTGTTTTCTTTGTGTTAAAATGTAACCCATCTTCATCAGTAAGTGCTTCAAGTCCTCTTCACTTTCACCATGCAAGTTTGTGTCATCTGCCATATTGCAGGCTATTAATGAGTCTTCCTTCAATCCTGATGCAATGTTATTCTTCATGCAGTCCAGCTTAGCAGATTATTTTCTCAGAAAATAATTGCTCAGCAAAGAATCTACCTTCATAGAATTTACATTTTAGTAGGAGACAACAAATAAGAAAATGAGTAGGATTCGTGCAGCTAGTGATAACTGCTCAGAAGAAAGTGCCTAAAAGAGAAAGGGGTCAGTAAAGGCTTCTTGAGAAAGCAGCATCAAAGTTGATACTCCGATGAAGAGAAAGAGCCTGTTCTTGGGTATCTGGTGTAGGAGGTTCCAGACACAAAGAACATCATGTATCTGAGGCTTGGCAAGTCCATAGAATAAGAAGGCCAGTGTGTTTGGATGGAGGCTGGAGAGGGAGGGAGCAGTTGAAGATATAGTCAGAAAGATGGACAAGGGTCTCAGACAGTCATGACCTTGAGCTTACCCCCATGCAAAAAGTATGAATATGAAGCATGGGATAAGATGAGAAGCCGGTGTGCAAACTCCCTGCTAACATTCATTGGGAGAGAGGCCTCTGCTATTTGAATTCCCATGACTACTCCACAGGAGGGGAGCTCTAAGAACTACTTATGTCTCAGGATGATGAACAAATTCATGTTTCAATCTTCTCCTGCATAGTGGTCTCTCCATTGGGAAACCAACAAGGCTGGGCATTTTGCTTAGAGATGTTGTTGTTGTTGTTGTTAAGTGCCATCGAGTCGGTTCCGACCCATAGCGACCCTGTACAGGGTTTCCGAGGGTGTAAATCTTTACGGGAGTAGAAAGCCTCATCTTTCTCCCGCGGAGCGGCTGGTAGTTTCGAACCGCTGACCTTACGGTTCGCAGCCCGATTCGTAACCACTACGCTACATTGCTTAGAGATGGAAGGCAGAAATTTCTCAACTGGCTCCTGATTCAGTTCTAACTTGTTTTCCTGGACAAAAACAAACTCTGATGACTAGAGAAGGAGCAACTGAGGCCATCTAGGGGAAGGGTGGAGAAGTGACCTTTTTTTGGATAGTTATTTGTGCTGTGCCCTTTACATCAACTCATGATGTGCCTGCCCATTATCCCATTTGATACAGCAGTCATATGGAGTAAGCATTACTCCATTTATAACAAGCAAGAAACTTGACGTTAAGAAAGATGACCTAATTTATATCAAGTCACACAACTTGTTAGTGGAAGAAGTAAGATGTGATTTTGCTTGTTGTGGGCAGACCTTAGGAGCCTTCATTGACTGTGACAGTTTCATAGCTATCTAAGTTGTAAGCTACTACGTTTGGATTTCTGTGATCCTCTGGGCCCCATCTGAGCAGATTCTAATCATGGAGTATGAGCAAGGAAATAGATGAGCAGGTGTTTTAATGATGAATACTCACACTCTGTGGGCTTGGAGAAAGAAGACAAAACAAACTGGGCTATTGGACCTCCCTCTAGCTAACCAACCCGAGACCTCCTGAATTTAAATCAACCTGTGAACAACATTTTCGTTTGATTTGTTCTCATACTAATGTTCCCTGTCTTTGATGGTTGGCAGCAGGCGAGATAGATCAAAACCATAGAAATTAGCCTTGTGGGATTCATGTCACCTATTCATCAAAACCAAGTCTAATAAGTTACCTTCAAGTGAACTCTGACTTATGACCACTCCATCTGTGTCAGATAGAACTGTGCTCTGTATGGTTTCTAATGGCTGAAAGTTCAGAAGTAGGCCCGTCACCAGGCCTTTCTTCTGAGTTGCTTCTGGGGAAACTCAACCCCCCAGCCTTTTTCGTTAGCAGCCGTCCACGGGCTCCCACTTGTGTCCAGGGCCAGTCTTTTCATTGTGGTTTAGGTCCCACTTCTTTTCAAGCCTGACTGGGCCTGTTACATCATGCTTAGCTCTGAGGTACGTAAAACCTGCCAAAGAATCAGTGCAGGAATCCCCACCCTTGGGGACACGACTATAGGAAGGTGTTTCCATCAGTAGCCAAAGCCTCTGAGCACTTCTAAGCTTAGGCCGTTGGCACTTGCTACCTCAGAGATCTGCCTGTTTCCCAGTCTCTAGGCAGTTGGGAGAACATTCAAGACTCACCTCGTTGATCACATCTGCCATCAACTTCACCAAGTTGTCACCTCCCCATGTGACTTGGTGCCAGAGTGTGGGAAGCAGGGGATCATCACCTTTTCCCCTGTGAGTACCAAACTCCCTAACAAAGTATCTCAGTGCCAGAGAACCCCACAGCAGCACCCCAACGGGCAGAGGGCCCCTTCCCTGAACCTCTTTAAGAAGGGGGCCTCATAAAATCTCCACAGGCCAGCCCAGGACTCCTTTGCACTTCAATAGCCTGCTTTCCTTTCACTGCACTCAGTATTTGGGCGTTGGATCTGTCAGTGGAGAGACTCCCCAGTGCAATTAAACGGGAGTATTGAGCTGGGGGAAAAAATCCATGTGCACTGACTCAGATATTTAAGCAACCACCTTTCAGCCTTGACTGAGAAATTGCCCTTCCAGCTGTCCCTGCTGGCAGGCTCTTCTGGCATCTCGTCAGGCCCCTGTGAATGTGTTTTTCACATTTCAACTTGCTTCAACTTGTCTCTCTAACTGATTTTCCTGACCATTACAATAATGATTCCAGGCTGACCTGCAGACGGCACTTGGGCAAGACGCCCAGGATCTCTGCTGGATGAGCCTCTCCTTATAAATCACAGGCAGGGGTGTCCACTTGCCGGGTTCGTGGCAGGTTAATTCAGTTTGAGAGACTTCTTAAACCCAGTCCTAATTGTTCCTCTGAAGAACTACAGGGGCAGGGGTCTCTCTTTTAACTGTGGCTAGAGTTTAGGGCTTAGTTGTCTGATGCTTGGGGCTTGCTGATTCCCACCAAATTCAATTCACTCTTCAAAACAGGAAGAACTTTCCCACCATTTGCAAACCACCAATAGACAATTCTTGGATGGGTTGGTGGTCGTTGAATTGCCAGGGTGCTCGCCCCTTGCGTCACAGAATCCTGACAATACAAGCACCTCCCCTCGACGTGTCCAATTAACTGGGACCATCTGGTTTGGAGCCAGACTGCTAAAGGAAGGCTGGGCCCCTATTCTCTGTCAGAGACCTTTCAGTGGTCTTTTTGAGGCCTTCATATGCGTGACTGTCAAACTTTCCCGACCTTTTCTACTTTACACTGATGAATAGCATAGCTGATTTGACTGCTGGTCTTCTGGAAGTTGAGCTGTTAACTCAGAGAGCTGAAGAGGTGTAAATGAACTCTTTACAAATGAGGAGGTCGCTTTGAAAGAAAATAAGATATGTAGGGCTCAGGCTAGTGTCTAAGGCACTGTCATGACCCTTGAGATCACAGATGGAAATGTAACATAAGAGCTGGCATAGGCAAGCAGCAGCTGGTAGGGCGTCAGAGTCATCCATCTCAACAGATCTGTAACTCTGGGTTTTTCCCAGCTTTCCATGGGATTCTGATGAGCCATCGGGTTTCGAGAGCCCTGCTGTGTGGAAGATGTCCTGGTAGTGCAGTTAGTTAAGCAGTGGACTGCTAACTGAAATGTCGGTAGTTTTAGCTCACCACCTGCTCTGTGGGAGAAAGATGAGGCAGTCGGCTTCCAGTAGGACATCTTGGGCACCCTAAAGGGCAGTCTGCTCTACCGTATAGGATCGCTATGAATTGGAATCGACTCGATGGACATAGGTTTTTGTTTGGGTTGTGATGGAGGGCTCTTGGATGGCTCAAATGGTTAAGTGCTTAACTGCTAACTGAAAAGTCAGAAGCTCGAGTCCACAAAAAGGCACCTTAGAAGAAAGATCCGGTGATCTACTCCTGGGGGTGGAAAATCATCCATTGAAGACCATATCTTCTCTGGCAGACATGGGGTGACCATGAGTTGGAATCAGCTTAATAACAGTGGGTTTGGGTTGGTTTCTTGCTTGTGGTGGGAAGCCCATTCGATTGAAATCCAAACTCCTGGGCCTGAGTCCAGGTCCTGGTACCCAGTACCGAACTGTGTAACTTTGAGTCAGTTTCCCTGTCCTCATCCTTGAAGCTGGGATTAGAAGGGTCCTGCATTGTAGGCTTGCTTAGAGGAATAGATGAGACAGTATGTAGCCTTTTCAAACTGCAAAGTGCTATGATGTGTCAGCTATCCCAACTACTGTATCTCTAGAGGACTTGATTTCCGGGAGTTCATTCACTTAACAACTACGTGGGTCTTGGTACAAAACCTCAATAGTTACTTACTGTACCTTAGCAGTTGCTGTGAAATTGATTCTACACATGGCAACCTATGTGTGTCAGAGCAGGACTGTGGTTCCAGGAAGTTTTCAATGGTTGTTTTTTGAAAGCAGACAACCAGGTTTTCTTCATAGGCATCTCTGGGTGGTTGGTTAGCTTATGAGTGCATTAACCATTTACATCACCCAGGATCTCAGAGATTAAAGAAAAACACAAAAGAAGGAGAAAGTGTTGGAGCACCGAGGGAGCTGCAGCTTGGTGGGGAAGCAGAGATCCACCCATAGAAGCAGGAACCCAGACAACACTGTCATGAGCACAACTCTTCAGTGGAGGGCAGGGGATGGCTGAGACAGGCCTGAGTGAGCTGTGGTTCTGCTCTGCTTGCTCTCTGGAGACTGCTGGGCTTCTGCAGGCCAGAGCATGGCCTCTTTCACTCATGGCTAGGAATGGTAGTGGTGGTGTGCCATGGAGTTTGTTCAACTCATAGGGTTTCTGAGGCTGTGAATCTTTATAGGAGCAGAAAGCCTCATCTTTTCTCCCAGGGAATGTCTGGTAGTTTCTAACTGCTGACCTTGAGGTTAGCAGCCCACTACACTACCAGAGTTCCTTCATGGATAGGAATAGGAGGAAAAAGTAGTAAGAAAGCAGGGTGGTTCTAGAATGGACCCTCTCCCTGCATCCTGGAGACTCCATTGCATCCTTTTGATCTCAGCTTCCTAGGCTATTTTATATGTTGTTTTTGTTAAGTGCCATTGAGTCAGTTCCAATTCATTGCAACCCTGTATAGGGTTTAAAGGAGTGGCTGGTGAGCTTGAACCACTGAGTTTGTGGTACAAATCAAATTTGTAGTCCAGCACATTAACCCATAGTGCCACATCAGGACTCATAGTATATAAGGGAACTTCAAAAAGTCTGTGGTAAATTCAATTATCTTTTCATTCCAGTTTTTCATGAACTTTCTGAAGCCCCCTCATACTGTCACTGAAAAAATTGTGCTCCAAAAAATTCATTTCTAGAATTCATGGTTCCTTTTTTTGTTCACACCTCTGATATGGTTGTCCAACCCTTACCTCAGAGCAAGTGAATGCACTGGAAAATTGACCAAGATGAAACCAAGCGGGAGGACATACAGTGTTTGGCACAAGTGGTGACCCTGTGGAGAAAGGCCAGTATCCAGAGTGGAGAGCAGGAAGAGCCAACAACAGACCTGAGCCAGAAAATACCAGGATTGAGGAAAAGCCAGTGGTGGAGACCCGGGAAGACAGCTGTGAAGACCTGACTGCAGGCCAGGCTCCTTGCCAGTCATTGAAAACAAGTGCTGAAACCAAGACGTGATCTTCCACATCTTGTTCTATCTAGGCTAGAAACAGCTGCAGACATGAAAATAAGAGGGTGGGGGTGGGTGACTGGGGCTAGTTTAATCACAAATGTAAGAATCTTTTCTTGGAATCCTATATTCATATCATTTATGACTCAGAGGGCCCTGCCTGCAATAACCAGACAATGATCCATCTCCCACCTACATTCCCAAGGCAACAGTCTTTATTTTCCAAACATTGTGTTGCCTGTACCATCAAAACTCAAAGCCAGATTTACTGCTGTCGATTCCAACTCATAGTGACCCTAGAGGATGAAGTAGAATTGAGCCATAAGCTTTCTGATACCATAAATCTTTATAGGAGCAGCCACCTCATCTTGCTCTGTGTGATAACAGCAGGAGGGTTTGAACCACCAACCTGGCAGTTAGCAGCCCAATATCTAACACCTAGCACTAACTACTAAGGCTCCTCGCCTTTATTGCAGCATTCCCCAAATTCATATCTGACACAGTGGTTCATAGACTGTTTTTTCCCAGGCAGAAGCAAGTTTCTTCTGCAACCATACATTGCATTTCATCCTTTCTTAATCTATGTTGAAATGGGTTTTTGTGCAGCATTTAATTCTTTGCCAGACTGAGTTGGTTTGTCCAACTAAAGATGAATTAAGTTTTGTTTATTTATATTTATTTATTCATTTAGAGTACATATATACTTTTCTTGCAAAAATGGGATTGTCTTACTTGACTTGGCAGGTCACAAATTCCTTTCCTTTGAATATTTGTTGTTGTTGTTAGCTGCTGTTGAGTTTGTCCCAACTCATGGGACCCCATTCACAACAGAATGAAACATTGCTCAGCCCTGTGCCATCCTCAGGATTGGTTTTAGATCAGTCTGCTTGTTTTCCTTGACTGATTTTCAGAAAGAGATTGCCATGATTTTTTTCCAAACCCATGTTAGTCTGAAAACTCCACTGAAATCTGCTCAGCCTTGTAGCAACACGTTGAACATCGAAACACATTTTCTAACAGATGAAGGAAATTTTACAACAGATATAATGTGCTCAACATGGTACATGTGTTCCCCATTACATACCCAAAGTTACATTTGCATTGTATCAAATGGAAACCCAATTAGCTTGTACTTCTGTGTATCTACAGCATATCCATAATGACCCCGGTGTTTTGCGAGTCCTGAAGTTTCCTCTGAATTTTCCAAGAAATATTGTTGTTATTGTTGTTGTTAGGTGCCATCGAGTTGGTACAGACTCATAGTGACCCTATGCACAACAGACTGAAACACTGCCCGGTTCTGGGCCAACCTCACAATTGTTACCACGCTTGAGCCCATTGATGCTGCCACTTTGCCAATCCATCTCATTGGGGGTCTTTCTCTTTTTTTTTCCTACCTGCTACTTTACCAAACATGATATCCTTCTCCAGTGACTGGTCCCTCCTGACAATATATCCGAGTATGAAAGACGAAGTCTGGTCATCCTGGCCTCTAAGGAGCACTCTGGCTGCACTTCTTCTAACGCAGATCTGTTTGTTCTTTTGGCAGCCCATGGAACTTTCAATATTCTCATCCAACACCATAACTCAACTGCATCAATTTTTCTATGGGCTTCCTTATTCACTGTCCAACTTTTGAGGTTATTGAAAATAGTATGGATTGGATCAGGTGCACCCTAGTCCTCAAACTGACATCTCTAAACTAGCTTAATTTAGCTTAGGTATTTAGATGATCTC